AGGATTACTAGCTAATCAAAGTGTGTGCACCACCATGCCCAACTAATTTTGTATTTTTTGTAGAGATAGGATCTCACTATGTTGCCCAGGCTGGTCTTGAACTCCTGGCCTCAAGCAGTCCTCCCACTTTGGCCTCACAAAAGTGCTGGGATTGCAGGTATAAGCCACCACATCTGGCTGAGGAATACAATTTTAAGTAATGATTTATGAGGAAAAGCACCTGATAAGATAAAAACTCATTTAGAATATTTCTCTTAGACAGGGTTCAAAGATTCCAGGTAAGGGCCGGGCACAGGGGCTCATGCCTGTAAACCCAGCGCTTTGGAAGACTGAGCCAGGCAGATCACTTGAGCCCAGGAGTTTGAGACCAACCTAGGCAACATAGTGAGACCCTGTTTCTACAAAAAATAAATCAGCCAGGCATGGTGGCACACGCTGTAGTGCCAGCTACTTGGGAGGCTGCAGTGAGCCATTATTGCACTAGTACACTCCAGCCTGGGCAACAGAACAAGACCCCTTCTCCAAAAAAAAAAAGATTCCAGGCAGTTTGGCACAGAGGTATTTGTGCTTAGCTTCTCCACTGCTAGTGACATCTGGAGTCCCAGGTGCCCTTCCTGCTTCATCTGCGCAGTGTCCTGGGAAAGGGCAGATGCAGATACCACATGCAGGACACCCCCCTTACACCCTGCCAACCTCAGCCTCCCTCCCTCCCTACATAGGACCTCTTCTCAGCCCTCATCAAGGGCCCCACCCGAACCCCCTACGAGGACGGCCTCTACTTGTTTGACATTCAGCTCCCCAACATCTACCCAGCCGTGCCCCCCCACTTCTGCTACCTCTCCCAGTGCAGTGGCCGCCTGAACCCCAACCTGTATGACAATGGGAAGGTGTGCGTCAGCCTCCTGGGCACCTGGATTGGAAAGGTGAGTGTAGTGCCAGGCCCCCAGCCCAAGAAGGAGGAAGAGCCAGTGGGGCATAGGGGCCAGGGGAACAGAATTGATGGTGTCCTGTGTGTTTCAGGGGACAGAGAGGTGGACGAGCAAGTCCAGCCTTCTCCAGGTGCTCATCTCCATCCAAGGTATGGTTGGGCTGAAGCAGAGGTGCGGACAGGGAGGGCCAATGGAGGGAAGTGACTAATGGGTCCCTGGAGGGTGGAGGGTAAGCCTGCGCCATGGGCTTCTCCCACCCACTGTGGGAAGGTGTCCCTCTCCCACAGGTCTGATCCTGGTGAACGAACCATACTACAACGAAGCCGGCTTTGACAGTGACCGGGGCCTGCAGGAAGGCTATGAGAACAGTCGCTGCTACAATGAGATGGCGCTGATCCGTGTGGTGCAGTCCATGACCCAGCTGGTGCGGCGGCCCCCTGAGGTCTTTGAGCAGGAGATCAGGCAACACTTTAGCACTGGTGGCTGGCGGCTGGTGAGCCGCATCGAGTCCTGGCTGGAAACCCACGCCCTGCTGGAGAGGGCCCAGGCTCTGCCTAATGGGGTCCCCAAGGCCAGCTGTTCTCCAGAGCCCCCAGCTATAGCCGAGCTCTCAGACTCCGGCCAACAAGAACCTGAGGATGGAGGGCCAGCTCCAGGAGAGGCCTCCCAGGGCTCAGACTCAGAGGGCGGTGCGCAGGGCCCGGCCTCAGCTAGCAGGGACCACACAGACCAGACTTCGGAGACCGCACCAGACGCATCGGTGCCGCCCAGTGTCAAACCAAAGAAGCGGAGAAAGAGCTACCGGAGCTTCTTACCTGAGAAGAGTGGCTACCCTGACATCGGCTTCCCCCTCTTCCCGCTTTCCAAGGGTTTCATCAAGAGCATCCGGGGTGTCCTGACGCAATTCCGGGCTGCCCTGCTAGAGGCAGGCATGCCGGAGTGCACAGAGGACAAGTAGGTGCCAGGCACAGAGGAAGGAGCATCACCGTGGGAGAGACTAGCCGCCGTCTGCTCACTCCCCCCGGAATCGCCCTCTTCCCATGCCCCTCTGTCCCCACTGCAAGCCCTCACTGCCCTCCTCTCCCCAAGGTGAGTTTGATGCTGAAGTACAAGAAGTATGCTGAGATGCCGCCATTTATTCTGAAGTGAGATTTCAACAGGCGGTCCCCCGTGGCAAAGAAAATCGGAACCTTGTTGCTGATTTTCCATTTGTCACCCCAGCAGAATGTCCCGGCACTTGCTCCCTTGCTGTCCCTTCTCAGGTCAGAGGTGGGTATTCCAGGGCTTGCCGCTGGGCTCTCTGGGCCGGTGCCCTGCAGACCCGCAGGAGAGCAGATGTGCCTTGCATGAAGTGTGGGTTGCGCCAACAATTCCCCTGGTCCTTTTCAGCCTCTTCAATTCAACTTGAGCCTCCCTGTGTCCCAAACCCTCCTGCTGCCACCTCCACCAGGTCCTCCTCCCTAGTCCCCCAGCGTCAACACTATCCCTTGGGAGTTGTAGCTGCTGTCACTGACTCCCAGCTCTACGCTGGCCTGTCGACCACATTGTAGCCCCCAGGCCTGTTGAACTTGCTCTCTAAGAGAGGTTGGGACCAGGCTGGGTTCAGGGTGACACCCATTAGAGGTGGTGGCCTTCATATATGCACACGGAGTTGAGGACCAGGGAGCTGCGGGGAAAGCAACAGCTGTAGGTGCCTTGCTCTCCTGTTGGAGGTTGCTGGGGCGAGAGCAGCTGCACAAGGCCAGGGCAAGTGCTAGGGCCTCTCCCCCATCACATGGTCACACTGGGACGTGGCGTGCAGCTCACTGAACTCCGAGCGAGCCAGCCCTCTCTTGGACTAGGAGGAGGCCTGCTGTCAGCCCTTTGCTTACAAACTGCAGGCTCAATCCAGAAGGGGATGGCCGGCAGGGGCTCTCCTAGTGCCCAGAGACAGGCCCAGAGGTTTACAAGTTTTCTAAGCTTTTGATAATGTGAAGCTCCAGGCCGAGAGGATGCTGTTGAGCACATTGCAGCTATGTAATTTTTGGTGTATGTATGTAATATTTAAGGTTGGGAAAAAAAGCTCGAAAGCAAAGATATTAACTCTTATTAGAAAAAAAGACACAAAAAAAAAAAGCCAAAGCATGATGCGTCTTGTCAGCCTTAAGTGGGCTCCACACCTGTGCTGTGCTGTGACCGCCCAGCCAGCAGAGCTGCGGGACGACGGAGCCGGGCCACACGCTGTGGCATTTGGAGCCGAGTCGGTATCTTGTTTGAGAAACACCCAGAGTGACTGGTGGGGCTGAGCTTCCCAGTGCATTGTACATGTGGAGATGTGAATGCCTACTGCTTACACTATCTGTATAAAGTGCTGTGTGATTAAACTTTTTTTTACTTGCATTTTTTTTTTTTTTTTTTTCTCCTTTTTTTTTTTTTTTTTTTTTTTTTGGTACCGTGTCTGGCTTTTTTTTTTTTTTTTTTTTTTGGTTGGCTCATTAACAAGACAAGGTGACACCATTAAACCTGCCTCTGCCATTCATCTGGGCTCGGTTGCCTTTCTTCCTCTCTGGGGCACTGTGTGCTTGGGTCCCTCACACGTACCCTTCCTGGGGAAGGAAAGAGCCTGTTGCCAGGGAAGGCATATGGCAGTGGGTCCTGGCTTCAGCACCACCACCTCACCCCCGCTCTCCACTCACCAGGTCTGCTTGCCCGCCTTTTGTACTTCCTGTCCTGGGGCAGTCCTCTGGCCTCTTCCTGGCTGGTGTTGTGCTCCTCAAGAGCCAGCTTAGAACAGTCTTCCAGCAGCTGTGGTCCCCAGAGGCCTACAATTGACCAGTTCATCCAGTTCAGCTCCTTCCAGATTCTAGGAGAGCCAACATCATAGCACCTGGCGGTAGACAGGTGCCACAGCTCCTGGGCACTAAGCCAAAATGGCTGCCCAGTTTAGGAGACTGGCATCAATCCTTCCCTGCTGCATCTTTTCCACTCCTGCCTGGTATTCCTCCACAAGGACAAATGGGGAAGGGAGGCAGCTGAGGGAAGCTGGGGGAACCCTAGACCCCTCATTGTGGGGGATGGCAGACTCCTTTTAAAAAGGTAACATACTGGCCATTGTGGTGGCTCACACCTGTAATCCCAGCACTTTGGGAGGCAGAGGCAGGTGGATCACTGAGCTCAGGAGTTTGAGACCAGCCTGGCCAACATGGTGAAACCCCGTCTCTACTAAAAATACAAAAATTAGCTGGACATGGTGGCAGGCATTTGTAATCCCAGCTACTCAGGAGGCTGATTGGGAGAATTGCTTGAACCCAGGAAGTGGAGGATGCAGTGAGCAAAAAAGGGTAAGATACTGCCCTTGTTTTTTTACTTCTGAAGTCTCTTGCTCCTTGCCAGTTTTGTGGGGTAGGTGGCAGTGTTTTTATTGTTTTTGTTTTTGAGACAGTCTCACTGTCACCCAGGCTGAAATGCAGTGGTATGATCTCAGCTCATTGTAGCCTCAACCTCCCAGGCTCAAGTGATTCTCCTGCCTCAGCCTCCCAAGTAGCTGCGACTACAAGTGCCCACCACCACACCGTGCTAATTTTTGTATTTTTTATAGAGACGGGGTTTCACCGTGTTTCCCAGGCTGGTCTCAAACTCCTGAGCTCAGGTCATCCACCCACCTCGGCCTCCTAAAGTGCTGGAATTACAGGCATGAGCCATGGCGCCTGGCCCACCAGTTCCCTCATGCCCTGAACTCAGACGTTTTCCCTCTCCTGCTAAATGGTTTCTGATGAGATTTGCTGGGACTAGCTAGTTGTGTGGCCCTAGCTAAGACATGCCAGCTCTGAGCTGCATCCTCCCTTGTATGGTCAGGCAGCTGGCTGAGCTCTGAGGCTGCTTCAGGGTGGAGGTGCTGTAAATTATCAGGGTGAGAGGCCCCCACCATTAGGCTGAACCAGCTCTGGTCCTAAGTCCCCCAACAGAATGCCTGGGGCCAGTAACATCCATTGCCCATCCCTGGGGGCACTATTGGCTATTGTTAACATTAAATTCCATAATCCTGGCTGGGGTGAGACCCCATTCCCTTCCCACTCACCAGGACAGGACCAGCAGGCTGGGAACATCACTTTATTTGGATTTGATTCATGGGGTGAGGGTCTTAGAACAAATTGGAGGGCCTTACACAGGCAGCTGGGCCCAGCCAGCTGGGCTTCTGACCCAGGACCTTGTTCTGGCCTGTCCTCCCAAAGCACAGCCTGCACCTTCTCCCCCTTCTCCGGAGGAGTCCTTTCACCCCACAGGAGCTGTGGCCATGCCCTACAGCCCTGGGGAAGGAGGAAGGGTCCTACAAGTAGACACTAAGGCACAGCTCGGCCCAGGGGTCATAAGGGCTCTTCTGGAGGTGGTGTCTGCTGGGGCTTCTGGCTGGGCGGGGGCTCCACACAACCGCTGACCATCCAGAAGTAGTTCGGGTGCACCTGGCCCTGCACAGCCTCACTGACCATCAATTCACCATCCACTGCAAACACACCCCTCCCATCCTTGGGCTCCAGGCGGAAGGCGACCACAGGCATGTATACCAAGTAGGGGCATTCATACTCCATATGTCTGCCCTTCTCCATGGCCAGGAAGAGGCGCAGCAGCATAGCCCGAGACACACCTGCCCGCACGTAGAACAGATGCATGACACCGGCGGCACAGCGGCCCATGGGTGCCGCAAACATCTCGCTGCCCAGGTGCGAGTGCAGCAGTGCCAGCACCAGCACAAAGTCCTGGTCGGGCACCACCGTCCAGTGAGAGGGCACTGGCTCCTCCAGTGGCACAAGATGTGCATCTACCGGGCCCTGCTGGACTACAATGGGGGAGGCGGGTGTCTTGGCATCGGTTCTTCCTACAGGGAGGTAGGACAGTCGGCCGTGGTAGGTGCGCAGGGCTGCCAGGCGCAGGAAGGTGCCCAGAGTGAAACGCATCTCCCCCAAGCGCCGATACTTTTCACTTTCTAGGTCCACATCAGCAATGAAGCCCCAGGCCAGGCTGAGCACAGAGAAGAGGCGCAGCCCTGAAGCCGTGTGCAGTGACAGCAGGTTCATGGGCGACAGTAGCCGGCTGCACAGCAGCAGCGTGCAGTTGGTCAGGAGGTCTTCATTAGTAACCTGCTCATAGCTGCAGGGGAAAATGGTCAGATGAAGCAGGGCAGGAGCCCCCCAGGTATCCCCTCTTCCTCCTCCCGGGGAGTGGGAGCTGGCAAAGCGCCATGTCATCCCTAGGGAGTTGGCAGGAGCAGTAAGTGACAGAAGGAGCAAGTGGCAGCAGCCAGCTGGGGTCACCAGGAGAGGGCCCCAGGACGAAGGGAAAGGGAGAATGGAAGTGACCTTGACCCATGGGAACTTAGACCAAAAAAACCCACAGGAGAGGGGCACAGAGGGGAAGCAGGCCCACTCTGGCCCTGGGCTCTCACCCAGCATAATGGTTCAAGGAAGCTGCCAGCGCGTTGCCAGAGCCTGCTGGGAGGCTGCACAGGGGCTTCCGAATGGCGGCCTCCCAGTCAGGCCGCTCCATGAGCCCGTTCACCACCTGTGTTGGAGCACACGTGGCCTCAGCCCGGGACGCACCGCGCCAAGCCCCAAGCCAAGCCGCGCGGTGCGGACCTCACCTCGTGCATCAGCCCGTCTCCAGACATGACCACCAGAGCGTCCCAGCGGCCCAGCTCCTCCGACCGCACCAGCTCCCGCGCATGGTTCCGCCGCTCTGCAGGAGGACGGGCAGCTCTCAGGACCCGGGGTCCCCTAACAGGGGATGCTCCCGGAACCCCCTCCGAGAAGTACTCACCAGTGAGCATCAGCGTGAAGGAGACTTCAGCCTCAGCCAGAAGGGGCTGCACGTGACTCCGGAAGAGCTGCAGGGCCTTGCCCTTGCCCCCGCGCGGGTTCAGCAGCACCAGCACGCGGCACGGCCGCGGGAGCAGGACCCGGGGGCCGCCCGCTGAAAAAACAGAGCCGAAGAGGCTGCGTCCGCAACCGGCCACTAGGGGGCCACGGGTAACGACAGGAGCGGCCTCCGCGGGGAGCCCTGGGGTGGGGACGCGGGGCCCTTGCCGTCTCCTTCCTTGGCTCGGACTCGGCCGGCTTCTGGCCTCGTGAGGGGCAGTGTTTCTCCCGGGCGTCCACAGCCCCCTTCGTCCAGCTGGGCGTTCCATCATTCCTGGCGCGGAAGAGGAATCCCCCTACAGCCCGTCCCAGCAGGGCCCCCACAAACCTGGATCCATAACCCGCGGCTCCTGCTGCCAGGGGGTCCCCGGCGCTGTCGGGGTGCTGCCCGTGGCGGTGGCTCCTGCCTTCAGCTCCTTATCGGTGCTGCCCAGGCGGGCGTCGCAGGGCCGGCTGTGGGGCTCGCCCTCCCCGCCCGGAGCCAGGGCTGTGGGAGCACCGGCGTCATACCCCGCGGCGGCTGGATCTAAGGGAGAGGAGAAGACGGCGCTGGCGGAGTCCCGGGCCGAGGCTCCCAGAGGTGGGAAGCGCCCGGCTAAATCCCGGGGCCAGGGGCGGGGAGGCACGCGATCCCACATCGCCCGAAGCTCGTGGGGCGGTGACCTAGGTTCCCGGGAGGTCAGAGAGCTGAGGTCTGGTGCCTCCGAGGGCGCCCCCGTCGTGTGAATAGGCCCTCCAACCCCCGAGGCGAAGGGTGCCTGCTCCGCGCCTTTCCTTCCTGGGGCTTGGGGTTCCGGCGCGACGGATGAGTCAGAGCCCCGCGGCTCCCTCCGACGGACTAGCTCCTCACCCCTCGGGGCTGCTGCCAGGGGGAGGGGGAGCCCAGCTGCGTAAAAATCCCAGAACTTGAGCGGACATTGCCCGGCAAGAAGTTCTGGGCGAGGATCCCCGCCTCAGCCAGCCGGGATGCTGCGTCCCGTGCCCGGAGCTCCAGAGCGGTGGGAGCCGCGACGCGGGCCTCCCGCCGCCCCGCTCCGTTGGGACGCGCGCAGCGCTTGGGGGAGTCGCTCCTGGGTCGCCCGAGTGCCGAGCCCGAGCCGGGCCACCAGCTGCCGCCTGCTCTCGCCCAAGCGACGAGTGGCCCAGTTCCCCGGGGCCCCGTGAGGGCGGGACGCACAGGAGCCACGAGCGGCGCGAAGGGAGGGTGGCCGGCCCTACCCAGTCGGTCCGGTTTGCTGGGGAAGCTCCACTGCCGTTCCCTACAGTGGCCCGGGGCGGAACGCAGCTCGTCCCAAGCTCAGCCCACGTCTGAGGGACTGGAGCGCCCCGCTGGAGCGGACTCCCCCGCCTAGCTCCCTCCGGCCTTAAACTTTTAGCTCAACTTCGCAGCCAGCGCCGCGGCGCGATGCCTAGGCGCTGGCCTGGCTCCGCCCCGCGCTCCCGGGGGTGGAACCTGAGCGCCGCGCCGCGTCGGCCCCGCCCGCCCCCGGCCTCAGAGCGCCGCCTCCGGCACGGCCCGCGCCCACAGCAGTGCCACGCGCGGGCTCCCGCCCGGATCGCACGACGTGGTCGCGCGCCCCCGCCGCTCGTCCTAGGCATCCTAACCGTCTGTTTGGCTAGAAGGCGGCGCCGCGGCCCTGCAGGCTGAGCTGCGGCGACAGGCAACGAGGCACGGAGTCCGGGCCCGGCCGCGAGTGCAGCGTCTGGGGCGCGCGAAAGTGACCGCGCAGCGCAAGCAGAGGCGCAGGCTCCTCGCGAACTCGTGTGGGAGCGAACGCCGGGCGCTCGCGGTTCCGCTCTCCCTGGGGACCCTTGGCTTCTCGACGCCGCGACCTCGCCGCCCCGGGTGCTGCCCGCGCCGGGTTGCAGCGCCCCCTTTGCGCGCCCTGGCCCCAGCCCACCCGGAATTTGAGGCCGGGACGCCACCCGGGGCGCCTTCTTCATGCCGGAGCGTCTCGCCCGCCACTCGCGGGCTTCCCTGTTTCTTCCACCTCCGCTCCCCTGCGGAGGTTATTTTTAACTTCCCTACGCTGCATCTGGGCCACCGAGCACGAGGCCGCCTAGCGCGCTTTCCCGGGCAGAGCAGGCTACCGGCCGGGGGCTCCGAGTCGGAGAGGAGCGGTGACAGTGTAGGTGAGCCTAAGGGCTCCCGTCGGCATTGGAAAGCCAAGCATGGGGGCGTGTCCCCCGCCCCTTCTAGCTCCTCGGGAAGAAGGGGCACCGGAAACGCGCTCAGAAGTTGTCACCTCCTTGGAGGCCAGTGGGGACGCGTTTGTCCGTGTGTTTGTGATACACTCATCGCGGCAAGCCACAGAACGTGTCCGCGAGCACCTCGAATTAGATCCCTGGGGGGTTATGGCGAGACAGAGGAAGAAGTTGCCAAGGCCCATTGGTGACCTGTCCAAGTAGGATCAGAGTTGGGAGAAACCAAGTCCCTGCGCGAGGCTGCGGGGCTCGCCCGCCCCTGCCGGCCCCACCCGCCCCCACACACCTCTCTCATCGCTTCTTAAAGTCGCGAAGAGGCAGGTCCGGGAGGAGCGCGCAGCCAATTAGCCGGGCAGCGCCCTGAACTCGGGCACGCCTCCTTGGTGTCTTCTCTTCGGGACGACCCAGGCGGCTCGGCCCAGTTTCCCAACACTTGGGGGGCCAGACAGGCGGGACCCGGGATTCCCCGGGCGGGGCGGGGGGCACAGACAGGGATGCGGGGTCCCTGGGGCCGCAGCTGCGCTCACGTCTCAGCGAGTGCGTCTTCGCCCTGCCGGGACTCCCAGCGGTCCCGGCTGGGTCCGGAGCGTCCCGAGCGCGTTCCGGGAAGGTGACTCAGCGACGCGCTCACGGGTTGAAGAACTCCGAGAAACAGGAACGAGGGGAGGGAGCACGGGCGTCATCCCCGACTCCTGGCGTTGCGGCGCGCGTCCGCTAAGGTCGGGTCCTGCGCCTCCGGGCCCCCCCGCCCCCTCCCCTCAGGAATCCGGCGCAGGCGGGGGAGGAAGCGCTGCAGCCGCAGTGCCGCGGTCATGCGCTGCGGGGACGCGAGCGGCTGCGGGAGGAGGAGGCTCTGCGCTGGAGCCCAGGACCAGATCCGTCCGCCCCTTTCCTTTCCTCTTCCTTTTCCCCTCCTCTCCCTCCAACGAGGGTAGGGTCCAGATCTGGACTTTGGTGCGCAGAAGACGCGAGTCGGAGGCTGTGCTCCTCGAAATCTCAGCCTCGGAGGTGACTGGCTGCGGAGACCAGCTGGGGTAGCCTTCCCTTTCTACTACCCGCTCCGGAGAGCATTTCCACCAAGTCTGAAAAGCTCCGTCGTTAGCCAGAGAGTCTGAAGAGGGGAAACTGAGGCACAGGGAAGACCTGTGAGTTCGTAGTGATAAGGCCCACCTGATCCCCCTTTTATTTTTCCTCTTGGAGCCCCAGAAAGGTCGGCTCCTGTGGCTCCAGGCCCACTGCCACCAGCCCTGAATCCGCGGAGCGGGCGGGGGCGACACTGACTGGAAACTGAGTTGTCGAAGGCGGGCGGAGCAGCATGCTGAGCTCTTTATCCTGCAGCCTCTGTTCCTCAGCTCCCCTCCCAGCTCTGGAAGCCCCCCCACTCCGCGGGAGGGAGGCGAAGGGCAAAGCCCTCTGGCCCCGGTTCCAGGCCGCACAATGGCTCCTCTGTCCTCCCTGGCGCCTAACCCCTTGCCCCCTCACCTCCAAGGCCTCTGCCCCCCTCATTCTTGTCATTCGCTTCCCCTAGCCCAGGCCGCCTTTCTCCAGACCCTTTTCCTCTTCTCCCTTTTTTTTTTTTTTTTTTTTTCTTACTCGCATTCCCTCTGGAATGTCCAGATCTAGCTCCTTTCTCTTCTTTTCTAAAGAACTTGATCCTATCTCCAGAAACGCCTCAGCTGCATCCCCGCTCGGAGAGGCGGGATTGGGCAAAGCCAGATGCCGGTTCTCCTCCCCACAGCTGGGGGCGGGGGGGCGCCTTGGATCTCTCAGGTCGCCAGCTTGGCCCGCTGCCCACTGTACTTCACTTCCTCTTTTAAAAAAGAAAAAAGGGGGCCGGGCGCGGTGGCTCAAGCCTGTAATCCCAGCACTTTGGGAGGCCGAGGCGGGTGGATCACGAGGTCAAGAGATCGAGACCATCCTGGTCAACATGGTGAAACCCCGTCTCTACTAAAAATACAAAAAATTAGCTGGGCATGGTGGTGCGTGCCTGTAATCCCAGCGACTCAGGAGGCTGAGGCAGGAGAATTGCCTGAACCCAGGAGGCGGAGGTTGCGGTGAGCCGAGATCGCGCCATTGCACTCCAGCCTGGGTAACAAGAGCGAAACTCCGTCTCAAAAAAATAATAATAATAAAATAAAATAAAATAAATAAAATAAAATAAAAAGAAAAAGAAAAAAGGACAAAGCGTGAGGGGTTGGGGGGAACCGAAACCCTGAGAGGTGAAGAGTCTTGCACAAGCCTCCAGCCAGTTCCTGGCAAAGCAGAGAAGCAAACCCTTGAGCCCTGACCCCAGGCTGGGAAGCCAAGTCCAGCCAGAGCTCCCCTCCGGGCCTCTCGGTTACCCAGGCTGCTTCTCCCAGAAGGGTGGGGATCTGGTGGCCCGGTGGAGTGCTTGCTGCAGAGCTGTGGGGTCTCCCTAAGAAAGAGGAAGCAGCTCCAAGCCCTCCCCAGGCTTCATCCTGAACCTGGAGGATGAGCTTGGAAACAGGTGCGCAGTCACTGTGCCCAGCAAAGCCCAACGTGGGCCTGGCAACAGGGCTGGGCCAGCAGAGAGGTGATCACCAACCCAGAGCTTGGCTCACAGGTAATCTGTCTCACAGGTGGGAGACTGTTTTTCTATCTTCCCAGCCTCTGCCTCCTGTGGGCAGCCTCCCCAGGGAGACACACCTGAGAAACCCCTCTTTTCTTTTCCAGAGAAAGAAAAGCAGGCATTCACCTGGCCCAGCCCCAGCTCTCCAGAAACTGGAATCAAAGCCGCCAGATGGCAAATTACTTGCTTTTATGAGAAGATTCCTGTCATCTCACCCTTCCCTGAAGCTACCCTTCCCTAGCAGATTTCAGCTCCCTAATTGGATGGCCTCAAGGCCTCCCTTGACCTCAACTTCTTTCCTTTTTTTTTTTTGTCATGTAGTGTCTGTTGCCCAGGCTGGAGTGCAGGCGTGAGCCACCACACCTCGATGATTTTTGTATGTTTAATAGAGACGGGGTTTCACCATTTGGCCAAGCTGGTCTCAAACTCCTGACGTCAAGTGATCCACCTGACTCTGACTTCAAAAGTGCTGGGATTACAGGCCTGAGCCCCTGCCCAGCTTTTTCCTTTTTATGGTACTTTACTGTCTTGGGGGTGGGGTGTGGTCATAAGGACCAGGAAGGGAGGTTCCAGCTCACAGAAGCTTAGGGGCCCAGTGTGGTGACTCATGCCTGTAATTCCAGCACTTTGAGAGGCCGAGGCAAGCAGATCATGAGGTCAGGAGATAAACCGTCCTGGCCAACATGGTGAAACCCCATCTCTACTAAAAATACAAAAATTAGCTGGGTGTGGTGGCATGCATCTGTAGTCCCAGCTACTCGGGAGGCTTAGGCAGGAGAATTGCTTGAACCTGGAAGGCAGAGATGACAGTGAGCTGAGATCTCACCACTGCACCCCAGCCTGGAGACAGAGCAAGACCTTCTCCCTGCCAGCCTTTGATCTCAAAAAAAAAGAAAGAAAGAAAGAGCTTAGGGCTGACCGGGTGCAGTTTCTCACATCTGCAATCCCAGCACTCTAGGAGGCCAAGGTGGGTGGATCACAAAGTCAGGAGTTTGAGAACAGCCTTGCCAAGATGGTGAAACCCCGTCTCTACTAAAAATACAAAACTTAGCCGGGTGCAGTGGCACATGCCTGTAATCCCAGCCACTCAGGAGGCTGAGGCGGGAAAACTGCTTGAACCTGGGAGGTGGAGGTTGCCGAAATTGTGCCACTGCACTCTAGCCTGGGTGACAGAGCAAGACTCTGTCTCAAAAAAAACTTAGGGCCACCCCCACATGGCTTTCCATTCTGAGTTTCCTAGATGTTGTTTCCAGGTCGACCATGCCAGGCATTGGGGTGGAGGGGGTGCCACCTGCCACACATGGAGATCCAGGGGATCAGACTGGTCGTGCAGGATTCTTGGCTGCTTGCAGGGAGTGTGTGCTTTGCCCAAGTTTCTATTTCTCCCCAGTGGCTGGACTAATCTAGATGTGTGATAGGGTGACCCAGCTCTGTCCCTTGGGTGGTCTCCTTGTCCTCCTCCTTGCTGAGGCTGGGGACCCAGGTCTCCTCTGGCCTCTATCTGCCACATACCTTCACCTCCAGGCTGCTGACGGTTACTGCAATTCAGGGCGATTCGCTTCGGAGCCCTCTCAAGGTGGCGACCTGCACTCGTACTCACTCCAGTTGCCTCAGCTGCCTGCCCAGCATCTGCGGGCATCTGTATTAGTTTAC